TCTAGACAGAGGCAAATGTATTTACACCCCGGACTCAACGATGGAACGTGGCTAATGTCTGTTATCATCTAGCGTGGCGCCTCTCAGAGATCGAATACGCAGAAGATAAATACCGCGACTTTGACGGCGACCTGTTCGGCGGCAAGGTAGACATGTGGTGGAGGGAGGCATCTTTCTGCTGGTCTTTCTGGTCGCTGGATGTCCCAGTGGCAGACCTAGAGACTAGCGATGCAATCCTAGTCCGTGCAGTGGACGAGGCGCTGAGTGCCATGCCGCGTGACATGTACTGGTCTGTCCTGGGCATGATGAATAACCCATGGTTCAGAGTGGCGATCACCAAAGAAGGAAATACACTGAAATTTGAGCACCCAACACATCCAGCCAAGGCTGGAGGGTGGATGGAAAGAGTCAAGAAGACTGGTGGTGACTTGCTCAATGGTAACTGGGGTGAAAGGGTTGAAGGCGAGGAACTCGTCGAGCCTGAGCCCGTGAAGGAAATCAACATGAAGAAAGACGGCGTGAACAGACAAATAGACTTGCAAGAGCTGAAAGCTAATAGCACCAGCGAGAAGCCCTGGTTTGTTGTCAATGGCGAAGTGTATGATGGTACAGGCTTCCTCGAAGGTCATCCCGGAGGAGCGATCAGTATTACATCTTCTGCTGGTTTGGATGTATCCGAAGACTTCCTTGCAATTCGTGAGTCATAAGTAAAATACCACCACACTATTGCACTGCTGACTTTCCCCCAGATAGTGAAACCGCCAAAGCAATGATGCCGGACTACCATATTGGCACATTAGACAAGGCATCTCTCCAAGCGTTGAAGAGCGATTCAGCTGGGGGTTCTAGTGAACCACGTGAAGTGTTCCTTCAGTCGCGGACATGGACAAAAGCCACCCTCACAGAGAAGAGGGATGTGTCCTGGGATACTCGGCTATTCGTATTCGACCTGGAACATAACAAGCAGACACTCGGCCTACCAATCGGCCAGCATCTGATGATCAAAGTCCAAGACCCATCAAATAACGAGGCAGTCATCAGATCCTATACACCAATGTCAGACACAAACCTGATAGGCAAAATGGAGTTGCTCATAAAGGTCTACTTCCCAACGGATAGCATTCCAGGAGGGAAAATGACCATGGCTCTCGACAAGCTGCCGCTCGGCTCAGAAATTGACTGCAAGGGTCCGACAGGGCGGTTTGAATATCTCGGCAACGGCCGGGTCTCAATCAGCGGCAAAGAGCGCCATCTCCGCTCTTTCAAGATGATCTGTGGAGGAACTGGCATCACACCAGTCTTCCAGGTTCTGCGGGCTGTCATGCAAGACGCGCAAGATCCCACGACGTGTGTTGTGCTAGACGGAAACAGGCAGGAGGAAGATATTTTGTGTCGTTCTGATCTTGATGCTTATGTGGAAACCGATTCTCGGAAATGCACTGTCGTGCATACGTTGACTAAAGGGTCTGATACCTGGACTGGTCGTCGGGGCCGCATTTCCGAGGAACTTCTCGCGGAGTATGCGCCTCCAGAAGAGCAGAGTATGGTTTTGGTCTGTGGCCCTGGGCCTATGGAGAAGTCTGCTCGCAATATTCTTCTTGCCCAAGGCTGGGCCGAGTCGGATCTTCACTTTTTCTAGGTTTGGTGCGGGTGGTTTGGAGTTTGGGCTGTACGTTAATAATGGGTATGAGGCAGATAACATGCTAGCCAGAAAGATATGACATTGCGATTTCATTTGCATAGAAACGAAGTGAATTTTGAAGAATCTCGTCAATCATAAATCATAACATGTCCAAGCAGTACGCATCAAACAGATATAGAAGCTCTAGGTCAAGTCCAATAGGTTGTTCTTTACACATTCTGAATGTGCAGCAACGGATTCCTTCGATCAATAGTAGTTTTTCACGTCTAGTCTCACCCGTAGATGCTCAAAGACGCTGGTTGGGTCTGTCCGCGAAGAGAAGAATTCCCCTGATTTGGCCATTGATTTCGAAGTGGCCTTTCCGGACTCCAGGCTGCGGAGGTAGTTGACAAAGGCAGAGGTCTGTTTTCTAAAAGACTGGTACAGGTGGAGAACAGCTCCTTCGCTTTCGTTGCGCATCCCGATTCCATCTGCTCTTGATAGAAGGCTGAAGCCCAGAATAGTGCCGAAAATGGATTCAAGCAGTTTGGCCGCCTGCGCATGGCGCTTGCTGAGGAATAATGCGAACAGCATCTGGTCCAACATGTCTTCGTGATAATCACGAAGTCGTGGTACCGAGTGCGCTGCTTCAATCGTACCATCAATGTCACCACGGTTGAGGCAGTGCTCGATCTTGGTAAGTGTGTTTTGGAAGCGCTGCCAGATGGATCCGATGCCAATATGGAAGCAGTAATCACTGACCGCTAGCACAAAGTGTTGGGCATCCACCCTAAATTTCTGGTATACATTGTGTGTGTCTCCTGCTAGAGATACTCGAGCAGTAGAATCCCGGATAAGTCCTTTGACGGCAGAAACCATGCGGATTAACCGAAGCAAATGCTTGAAGAGTCGATCATATTTATTCAAAGAGCGAACAGTAATGAGAGATTCAAGGACTTCTGGCGGCGTGTACTGCAGACGAAGGAAGTCCAAAGCCTCTATTGCATTCGGGTTTTTACACCGTTCGATTTCTTCGTCTGTCAGTTCTCGAATTCCGAAGCTCAGGCCGCCAGGCAACTCATTATCCTTTTGAATGTGGGATTTCTCGTCGTCTTCTGTGTTTGTGTTGCCGAAGTAACAATCTCCCAACAGGCCAATCAACACGAGTCGCAACTCTGAACTAGCTGGAGGCCATGTATCACGACTGCCGAGGCGTAAACCGGTGTCAACACCACTGCGCACTTTCCCAGCTTTTCGCTCTCCACTTTCCATTTCCGGGTCGAATAGGGAATTAGAAAGCCGGGCGACAAATGAGCCCTCTCCCAACAACTGGAAGCGCCATTGCATGTTTAGATGATGGCGAATTCGATGTTCTTTAAAGAGAAGGTGCAGGCAAGAGTAGTCGATGAGAAGTGCCTGCGACGAAAGAATGGGCGCAAGAGATAGATGGAGGCCAGATGCCAATTCAGGACCGAGATAACTTGCTGCATTGGCGTGTTCAGTTTCAACTCCACGGGCTTTATCAAGCAGTTGCTTAAAATCATCTTTTGAAAGAGCCTTGTGATCTGTGACCGGCCCCGAAGCATTCTTTTCATCATCTATGTCGAAAAGTTCAAAGGCCGCCGTTGTAAGTTCTGTGTGGGCGATTTGATCGACACCCTCGGTGACGACATTTGATGGCGAATCCTGCAAGCCTAAATCACCTTTATGATATCTCTTGATCTCAGCGCGGAGCTTTGACTCGTACTCTTGGGCTTTCGTTTGAATTTGCTCAATATCAGCCCAAGTGGTCGCACAATGCAGATGAAGACCACCAGTTCGCGAGAGAACATCACGCCGTGCGATAGGATGGTGAGGGTGGGATCGTTTCAATAGTTGAAGACTTCGCCCACTTTCAAAGATGGAACGGGCTTGGTCGGCCGGGATGAAAGACGGCATGTGGTCCGCTTGATAGATGTGGTCGATTCGTGCTGGCCCAGTCCTGAACTTGACAGCATCATGAGTATTCAGTTGGACGAAGGCTTTGCCGCTTGCCATGGATTCTTTCAGAGCTGCGTCTTCGGGTCTAAGCCCAATCCAAGTCTCAATGAATTTGAACCATGGCTGAATCACTCGAATCACAATTTCATGCATAAGGTTCTCCATCCAGCCAAACTTCTCGGCAAAAAAGGCTGCACGTTCCATGACAATTGACATAACTTGCGCGTCCGAGACAGCCCTTTGCGCAGCACCAACAATAGCTGCCAGGGCACCTATCAAGTCCCCGCAGCGGTGGAATAATGCCTTTATTTGTAGGAGTGAGGCAATATTCTTTGACTGGTTAGAGATCTGCTGTTCAAGGTTGAATATTATTACAGCAACCGTGCTGCTTAATGTGAACAAAGCAGTAAGTTCTTTGCATTTGACTGGCGGGTTTTGCGCAAACAGCCGCATGCGCTGCATATCGGTACCACATTGTAGCATATATTCAATCACATTTTCCAATGCCAATGAGCTAATACCAGAAACCCGGATATCCTTCAAATGTCTTTCAAATTGGTTGGTGCGTTGCTCGTAGCGAAAGAATGCAGAGCTCCAGCCAAGCCCGAGACGAAGCAGTGATCGAATGAACACATCTGTTCGAACTATTGGAGTTGGTACAACATCTCTCTTTGTTATGTATTGCTGTGCCAAAACTGCATCGAATCCCGCTGGGCCAGATTCACTAAAGTAGACAGACACAGGCTCTTGGAAAGACCTGTGTTGATATCTCTCCCATGACTTCTGTGGAGGTATTTGGCCAGGGTCTTCCTGAAGTAAATCCAAGGACCATATATTGTTATCATCCCCTGAGATGTCTCTTAACGAATCACAGGTGGTGTCAGACTCGCCGTCTATAGAGGGATTGATGATCGAGTCGGTAAATGATTCAGGTTTGTCCAAGCCGGTTGGAAAGAGATCCAGCTTCCATACAGGGTCGATCTTATCTGCGGGCTGTGGGTATATCTCAAAGCAGGATGTAGTATCATCTATGGGAAAAGAGTGTTATTGAAGGTTCTAGGGAATCTGCGGTTGACACTTACCACTTAGAGTAGTGTTCCATGGTAGCGATCCCAATGGCTGTAGGGCTTCTATGCTGAATTTGGATAGTCTCCAGAGGCTTTCACTGGAGAAAGGATCCAGCTCATAATCGCAATCCATAGTGAGACCATGCTCAAATGAGCGAGATGTTTGACGCGTGAAAGTTCCAAGGTCCCGCGACGGAGATGGCTATCGCCGTGCACAGACCCTTGATAACAGAAAGTGCCCTCGCTTTACTCGAAGCTCAACCACTACCTCCCCTCTCCAATTTCATTCTTTCCTACTTCCTGTGGTCCTCAAATATTGCACCTAAGCTACAATGCCTCCAAGAAAAAAGACCAAGCGTGCGCACTCGCCTACACCCCAAGATGATACTGTGGCGGAGTCGAGCGCAAACACTCCGTCAAGCGACAGCGTCAGCAAGTCAGACACCGACTACGACCTCATCACAGATCCCTGGACAGACGAACAAGAAACTGCGCTCCTCAAAGCGATCATAAAATGGAAGCCAGTTGGTGAGTTCAATGTCCATATCTCTTAGGTCCACAACGCAGCTAACCGTCTCGCCATAGGCCTACACAAACACTTTCGGATGCTCGCAATCTCGGATTACCTCAAGAGCCAAGGATACGCACCCTCCACAGCGGAACATATGCGGATTCCAGGGATCTGGAAGAAGCTAGGCTCATTATACAACTTGGAAGCTCTTGACGAGCGGGTAAGCGTTGATCGAAGCTTTATCCGCGCTGGTTCATTTTGCTGAATAAGGATACCTTCACAGGAAGATTCAGTGATCACCGATGTCAACGAAGACGACGAAGGATCCGGTGAGATGTATTGCACATTTGAGCTGCCGTATGACGAGTACGGCGATATGATGTTTGAAAGGCGGCTGGCGATGGAAGAGTCATTATCGCCAGTTACTAGTCGTGCCAGCCGCGCAGGCGGATCGCGGCGAGGAAGCACAGTCGCAGATACAGATGGTAAGGAGCGATATGATTTACAGCCTGGCGTACAACCCATAAACTAACTTCTTGCCCGCCACAGAGCCAAGGTCTTCTCCCGCCCCGTCTCGAGGTCGCATATCCCGCCCCTCCACGCGTGGAACACGCTCAACTCGGCTGCAGGTGGAAATCGGCCCAGGGAGTCAAGGCAAAGTATCAGACGAGGGAGGCGATTCGGCAGAAGACACTGGTGCGAATGATGAGGATGACGAGGAAGGTGAGGAGGGGTGAGGAGGGCATTAGTGACGAAGATGAGGGCGAGGGCGAAAAAGGTGGTTCGCGGAGCACCCGAGCGCAGACATCTCGATCCAAAGCCAAAGATAACAGGCCATCGACTGGCACTGCGACACGCAGGACTGCCCGACGGCGTTAACAGGGCCAAGTTTTCAATATGGGCTCTAAACTTTGATACCTATGGAGTTTGGGGGATGGCGTTCTCTTTTGTTTTAGTGATGTGTATGACTATGCAGGCATCTTGTACCTTATACTACAGTAGCAGAACCGATCAATCTACGATACCGATCTACCAAGACATGATTGAAGCAGGCTCAATGTTGTTTAAGATTCAGGCGCCTCCAGGTAACCAAAAGTAGGTATATTTCGATCGCTATAGCTCTAATGTCGTTCGAAGGGTACAAAGGGAATAGATCAGGGGGTCATAGTACAAGGAGTGTCAGCGGCGCTTGATTTACAGGCGCTTGATGATAGCTCCAGCGTACTCGTGGGTCTTGGCCTTGCCACCAAGATCACCGGTGAGGGTCTAAAGGTCACGGGGTTAGTAATGCGCGGTAACTGTAGGAAGAGTTGTAAAAGCTTACCTTGCCCTCGGCGAGAGTATCGAAGATGGCCTTCTGGATGCGGTTGGCGTGGTCGTGGAGACCCATGTGCTGCAACATCATGATACTGCTAAGAAGCATAGCAGTGGGGTTGGCGAGGCCCTTGCCGGCGATATCGGGGGCGGAGCCGTGGACGGCCTCGAAGATGGAGCACTCGTCACCAATGTTACCGGAGGGGGTGAGACCGAGACCACCGATCAGGCCGGCGCACATATCGGACAGAATGTCACCGTACAGGTTGGGCATAACGAGGACCTTGTCGTTGTAAGGGGTAGGGTCGGTGACGATACGCAGGCATGAGTTGTCCAGCAGCTCAGCGTCGAACTCAATATCGGGGAATTCCTTGGCGATCTCACGGGCGGTGTTGAGGAACAGACCGTCGGACATCTTCATGATGGTGGCCTTGTGGACAACACGGACCTTCTTCTTGTTGATGGACTGCGCGTACTGGAAGGCGAAACGGAGGACACGCTCGGAAGCTTCGCGGGTGATGAGCTTGATGCTCTGCACGACACCGTCGACAACAACGTGCTCAATACCGGAGTATTCACCCTCGGTGTTCTCACGAATGAGAACAGTGTCGACGTTGTCGTAGGGGGTCTTGTAGCCAGCGATGGAGCGGCAAGGACGCAGGTTGGCGAACAGGTTGAAAGTACGGCGGAGAGTCAGGTTCAGGGAGACGTGACCCTTGCCAACGGGGGGTCTGGAAAAGCCAAGTTTAGTATCGCAGTCCAGATGCGGGATATATGGAGGGAATTTGAGGCCGGAACATACAGCGAGGGGACCCTTGAGGGCGACGTAGTTGCGGCGCACACTGGCAATGGCATCGTCGGGAATGGCGGTCTTGCCATCCTTAAGGATAGGGGGTGACATCAACGGATTCCCACTTGATGGGGGCCTATTATTGACTTAGTATTTTGATCGTGTTAAAGAGTTGACTCGTTGCGAAATCGCTACCTTTGCGGCCTCGAAGATGTCCTTAATGGACTGAGAGATCTCAGGACCAATACCATCACCCTCGATCAGAGTAACAGTGTACTTGCCCTATTTCAAAAGATCAATTAGCATTGTCATGGTTATACACTTGGTGATGTGCTCGATTTATGGTCGGTGTGGGCTGCGCGGCTGGCACCGGCATGGAGAAGAAAAACAGGTTCGGGTGGGAGAAAAACGTACATCAGGACCCTTCTGACCCTTGAACTTGGCAACAGCCTCCTGTGCAGGGCTGGCGTAGAAGCGGATCTGTTTAAAAGGTCGAAATTTAGTCAATTGAGCATTGATAGCGACTGGGTTGTCTTGAGGGGGTTGGTACCTGCGCGATAGGAGCAGCAAATCGGGGGGCCACGCGGGACGGGCGCATGCACTGGCGAGCGACAGAGAAGTTCCGGGCAGCGATCATCTTGAAAGATCCCTTCAATTTCTTGGGGAGAAGATTAGAGGTGGTGAGGGGGAGGAATGAAAGAAGGAGAAGGGGAGAAAGAATCAAATCTCTCGGCGCCGCACCGATCCGACCGACCCTCAGACCGCATTGGTGGTTTCATTTCCCCCCCGGCCCGAGTCCACTCTTTGACCTGGTGTCCACTCTTGACTACCAGCTATAGGTTCTCAGCATTGATTAGGGTTCTGCTATCAGATCTTGGTCACCTGCAGAGTGACCACCCTGATTCTCCTTTGTATTTCAATTCGTCCTAGCTACTGCACACCTGGCAATAATGGCGGACCTCGACGTCGCAAGCCACTACAACCTACCCTCCGAGTTCCCCGAGGAATGGCCGGCATCTTTAGACGTGGCCGATGAGCCAGAAGAACAACCAGTTCAGCGAACAGACTCCCGTCCACGCAAGTCCCGATACATAGCTCTCGAACGCAGTACCAGTGATTGGAGAGGCAAGTTTGGTTCACGAAGAGGGAAGGAGGGCAGAGACAATGCGCGGGAAGATGAGCCCGATCCCTTGGGTACAAGCGACAGCGTTCTCCGGATTCTCAAGCAGCGAGGAGTGCCATTGGAGGAAGAGGGCAAATCACGGTACCTGTTGTCATCGACATCATTCTCGCCCGCACTATTCCTATCACAAGCGCATCACTCAGCCTCTATCGAATCACTGATGGGCGGCCTGGATAACTTGTCGCATTCCATCGACCAGAAGTCGGCGTCGCTGAAAGTGCTGGTGGAAGCCAACTTTGAGCGTTTCGTGCGTGCCAAGGCAACTATCGATAGCGTCTACACTGAGATGAGAAACCAGGGCGTTGATAAGGACCCACGTCTTACTCCCCGCAGGTCAGGACATTTCCGGAGCTATTCAGGTCAACACCGGAGTGTATCTCCTGCCCCAGTGGCTCCTAAGAAGACCGCTCTGGTCAAGGAGAGCGAGTTCGGCATGAAGGGTATTAGAGGTCCTTTGGTTGAAGCTTCTGTCAAGGCCGAGGAGGTGTGGGGGCCGGCTCTTGGGGGTCGCGAACGAGAGCAGGTACTGAAGTCGGTGGTGGAGACCATGGAGAAACACCGCGATGTCTATGAAATTGGAAGCCACCTGTCCAAGTCCATCCAGCAACGTGATTACGATGCTGTCTTTGAGCAGTATACCAAAGCAAGGACACTCGCTAATCAGGCGAAAAATATCGCTGAGCAGGCATCCACCTCCCGCCGGCATCTAAACGACTCTGAGACACACACCATTTTGGCTATGGGCCGGATGTGGATGGACGTTGACCACCAAATCCACGACTTTAAGCGTGATCTCTGGAGGCGTCTTGCCGATGCCCCCACCACGTCAACTACAAGCACAGCCTTGGGACCTGTGGAAGAACATATGGAGTTGATCGGAGCATTGTTGGAACTCGGCGTCGAAGACAACCCTATCTGGACATGGCTTCAGAGTCGCTATGAATTCTTGAAGACAAAGATCACAGGGTTCTGTGACCGATGCAAGGTTGAAATTGAAATTTTAAGAAGAAGACTTGCCGGCGGAGAGAGACCAACTCCACAGGCTACGGCATCCTATCTCCGCCTGGCACCTCGAGATGGTGCGGTAGAGGTACCAGGGAGACTAGACACGGATCAAGTCATTGAGTTGTGGGAATGCATACAAACTTTCCTAACCCGACTTCTGTCCTCGCAAAGTGGTTTACTGGGCGAAGTTTTGGATTTCTGGGAAGTCGCACAATCATTCATTGATGGCAATCGACAACGGCTTTTGCCCGCCGGGTTCGAAGGAGAGAGTCGCAAACATCACCACCTTTCAGACGATAATATTAAGGAACTAGAGATGGGTATCACAGTGCTGGTCAATATCATTCGAGAGAACGTCGTGGCCCTCTTCACGGAACCCCCAACCGAGGATATCTCCCTACTGTTCTCGCCAATTCCGGCAAGTCCATCAACCCCAGAGTCGAGGGGTATTACTCCAACAGAGTCCCGCTTCAAGCTCGATCCGAAGAACCTACCATATCCTCCCCCAAAGCTTGGAGAGCACTGGGAGGATTTCGCATTCTGGCCACCATTTTCCAATTCTCTCAGTGGAGTGCATTATCTGAGTAAATTCCTCGCCACCGTGGGCACCGCGGCGAGCGAAATGGCAGCCCTAAGGCCGATTGGCGGCTCTGGAAAAACCTATGACCTCCTCAAAACCCTTGTTAGTATTGCCCGGGAACGATGTGCACGTGTGGCGTGTGCTGCCTGGAGTAAAGATGCGGAGATCTGCAAAATGTTAGAAGACTGGACACGCGATTCAGAGAACCGTGATTTGACTAAGATGCCCGGGTTCTTTGTGGCTTTTGAGAGTGCTGTCCTTGTAGGCATGCAAAAAATCCTTTACATCTCGGAAGCTATGGCAAAGTCAGGTTCTGTGGATGTTGTCACTCAGCCGCCTGCGAAACTGCTTCAAATGGTCCGCTCTCAGTTCGTATCGAGTGTTTACAAGGCGTTAAGCGGCCTGGTCGAAAACGCCGAGCGCCTGACGACAGTAGATGAAGAAAATGAATGGATTATTGCTCGACCAGCAATGACAAGCCAAGCGACTGACGCAGCGTTGTCGATTCTCTCAGCTGATTCGGTCGATTCTTGGAATCGGGTAAGTGGCGGTCCAATTTGATGTGATATCTAAATAACTGACCACATAAACAGAATGTTCGAATCCTTCTTACACTTTCAAATCTCAAGGCTCTACAGGCCGACCATGTCCCACAGCTTATCTCGAACTTTGAGACATCCTTCTCAGTGAAGCTAACGGAAGAGGCCAAGACTGTCCGGGACGTGCTAAGCCAGATTGAAGACAGGCTATTCCAGTCATATATCACCCCGACTACTACCTTATTGAACAAAACAATCACCGCTGGCATTTCATCTCCGGACTGGGAGCCGTCTGTTGACAGGCCGGAGCAAGTCCGCCCATATGTCTACAACACTATGCTGACCATGGTGCTGGTCCACACAGAGATCTCCACAACAATTCCATCTACTGTGTCACCAGGTGCTAATCGCGCTGCGTCAAGCTCACCTTCCTCGCTGCTGGTCACCGTGTTAACACATCTCCTTTCTCAAATTTCTTCATCATTGCTTGATGCCTTCCGTGCTCGGTCTTCCTTCTCGTTAGCAGCTTTGATGCAAGCTACCTTGGACACCGAGTTCATTGCACAGACTCTTTCCGCGTATATTACTGAGGAGGCATCTAATGTACAAAGCCAGATCTACGTCGAGCTAGATTGTCGTACCACAAACGAGGCTCGCACGAGACTGAAGGCCGAACTAGGAGAAATGCGAATTATCCTAAAACGGCTCAGAGATCGGACGAAGGGAGAGTTTGCTTGTTTCAAAAAGCCGAGAAGCGGCGGTGGTGGAAATGGCGGAGGGGCCTCCAAGCCTTCCGCTGCAGCCGCGACATAGGTTTAGCAAGACAGTTAAAGAATCGAATATTGAATGCTTTGAATTTCTTTAATTTTTTCATATCCAACCGGGTATCACGAAAACATAGTCCACATCATGTGTAGTTCTTGCCTTTGCTCTCTAATTCTGACCAACCATCCGCTGCACGCGACTAAGCAGCGCATTGCTCTCTCTACCTAATCTTCTCTTCCCAAACTGGTCTGGCCGCTTCGCGCGCAACAGCTTCTCACGCTCATTTTGTTTCGCCTCACGATCCTTCTGTCGTGCTTCCTCCGCTTTCCTCCGCTTCTCTGCAAACTCCATCTCCTTTGAGAATGCAGAAGGCTTTGGCCTGCGCTCTCTCTGTTTGCCCTCGCCTCGTGGGCGCCGTTCTGGTCTAGGTGCAGGTGCCGGCTCGGCCTCGGGCTCGTTCAACATGGCTATGCGATCCGGATGAAGTTCCAGAGTCGTTGTGTCATCACCGGCCTTTTCCTCATCCTTCCCAGTTGTTATTTCATCTGCTTCGGCGGTGTCGTACACGGATCTCCTTGGTGCGATGGCAAGTTCTTCGGCTTTGATCTTGGCATAGGCCTTCTTCACTTTGGCTTTGTGAATCAAGTCATTTTTGATCTTTTGGGCTGTTGTTAATTGTTCGTTAGTCTCATTCGAGGCATAGCTTTCGGGCACGCTCACTCTTGCGACGATATGTGCCATCTGGTAAGTTGGCGGGTCCAACGCTAAAACCCTTGCGCTTCTTGGTCGCGGGATCGCCCTTCGATGCTGGAGCAGCATCGCCGTCGTGGGTACGTTTCGGTGCCATTTTGATATTCAAACAAAACAAATGTGTTTCGTCGTGACGTGTGTTGGAATCGAAAAGCTTTTGGAGAAGAAAAAAAAAGTGGCGATCTCCGCACGGAACATCGGTCTCGGCCACTAACAGCTAAGTATGAACTTTTTGAACCATACAATAGATGTATACAACGCTTTTTGTCTGACTTAATTTTGATTCTAAAGGATTGAAATGATAGTTAATGAGTATTTAGAATATCTTCTACAATATCATCTACAATGTGTACAATACATGCGACATTATCAAAGATTATATTATCATTTTAGCTGGTCTGCACACTATGTGTGCCCTTTTTCTCCCTCTATTTCTCCCCAACATCTGTCCCATTTTTTTAGGCATCAAGCCTCTAAGGTCATTATTGAGACCTAAAGAATGCAAATATACAACATATTACAATGTAGCCCTGGAGGACTACCCAATCACTGCAATACAACGTCACTGGTCCATCACATGACGTTCTCAGTCCGGATCTCCGAGATCGACGGGTGCCCACCTCATTCAACGACACAAATGCACACGACCTACTCAATACTTTCTTCCCCTATTCAACCATTTTTGAGGCATAAACTGGGCATTCATACATTTGAGAGAGCAAAAGCCAGGCCAAGGGTGTGACATACAAAGTACTCTCTTCTATATAATCCGCTATCTCCTTCACCAATCAGTAAAATCACTGCATATACCCGAA